CCCTTCTCCTGGGGCCAAGTGGTGGAGAGCAGACCTGAGAGATAGCAGCTGGGGCAGGAGGCGCCATCCTTGACTGCTGGGCTTCTTTCCAGAGCAGAGGTCTCCCTCATCCTGTACCAGGTCATGGGCCCGAGCCTCCGGAAACAGTCTGTGCTCCCTGAACCAGGTGCTGTCGGTGTGATGAGGAAAACAGAAGCTTAAAGCAGTAAGGATGGTAAAAGCTGAAAGTATGCGCAAGAGGATGGCGGAGCAGTGTGCCCCCGCTGACTTGTGCACCTGTTTGCCACTGCACAGCTGAGCCCGCTACTTGGTGACGCGGTGCAGGAACTGGAACCGTGATCGTGAGCTTTAGTTCCACACATGTAAGGTGCAGTGGGAGCTACAGCTCCCTGCCCCGGAGAGCATCTGTCTCTCGCGTCTGCACAGACAGGGCTGTCCAGACGCCCACAGGGCCTTTTTTCCCTCTTTGGTCAAAAACACTTCAAAGGTTTCCAAAGACTGCTCCTGATAATGAACAGCCAAAGCATTTAGAATTTATTTTTGTCACGCGGAGTCCTTCAGAATGCAGCTCTCCGTGGTATAGTGCGGCCGCACTTTACTCAAATTCGTCAATACGCAAAATAACCCTACTCCATTTTGAAACCTCGAACCCCAAATTTGCCAACATGACGACTCTAGGCTTTTGCTGGGAGATGGAGGTGTTCATGAGCCACTGACCTTTTGCAACCCTGAGATCAAACTTGACAGCCATCTCCGCCTAAACTACAAAGACATTGAGAGGCATGTAGTGCAACAGTGATCTACTTGAGCCTGCCGGCTAGGTTCAAACCTCTGTTCTGCTACTCCTGAGCTGTGTGACCTTGGACAAGTTTCTTAACCTCTCTGTGCTTAACGTACTCCCCGGTAGGGACAACAGTACCAACGTCACAGGTTGCCGTAAGGATTAAAAGCACACATGTAAAATGCTTAGAAGAGTGTCTGGCATGTGGTAAGTGCTCTGTGAATGTTGCTGCTAGTTTACGTCATTCCCTGAAGATGGGCTTTTGTTAAAAGACAAGACCCCATCCACTAATATGGCTCAAAGTTCACCTTCCAGGAGGACTCTGATTTCTGGTCTACTCAGTGTAAACCAATGCCTGGACCTCTAGTTGCCACCTCTGTGCAAGGCCTTCTTCCTCAGGGTCCAGGGAAGCTGTCCTTTGCTTCATCTTCCACCTGCCTTGCCCCAGGGTCAGACTGCAGATGCCAACACTGGGACTTTGCACTTGCCCCAGGGATGGAGAGGACTTCCTGTGCTGATGAGAAAAAGCTCTCCGAAACGACAGTGTGGTGTCAGGATCTCGTTGGCGGAGCCCATCGTGGGTGAGAGGGTCAAAGATTGTGTGTCCGTCCCCCAAGGGCAGGGAGCTCGGTGCAATCTCTGCATCAGCGCCGGGGATATGAATGAGCTGGAGATGCTGCAGAACCCATTAGGAGAGGGGGATGCGGCGGCACGGATGCGTGGCCCCGTCCTCTGGGCTGGGCCACGAACTGCTGCAGGTTTTGGGGAGAAGTCCTCTGAGGTCTTCACTCTGGGTTCACTGGGTCCACCTGACATGCCTGGGATGGCACCAGGCAACGGAGAGGGGAGTCGCTGGGCTAGCGGGTGGCGACCCTGGAGTGGCCCTCGTAGTCTTCCCAAAGCCTGCGGTCCCGCGTGCACCTGCTGCTTGAAGTGAGGTCGCTGGGGCAGTAGCCGGAACCCCTACCCCTCTGCCGAGGGCTGCTCCACGGCCTGCAGGGCAACGCGAAGAACCCGCAGAGAGGAAACAGTTGAGCTGATTATACCGAGGAAGGAAGCCACAAAAATGCAAGACAGACACTGAACACGGCCTTCCTCTGAAGAACAAAAGCCAAGAAAATTGGCTCACCAATGAGAATTAAGTGATAATAATGTACTGCACAGAAATCAAAACCAATTCTAAGCCAGCTCACTCAGAAAAATACAGGATCCTGAAGAGTAAAACTGAACGAGGTGAGACCTTTGAAGAGTGAACATTTTACTTTAAAATGCTTTGTGAAGTGACTTGAGCGCAGGCGAAATCTCCTCTGGGAGAGGAGAAAATCTGGGAAATCTCCTCTGCCGTCCCCTCCTTCAACCCCCCGGGACCACCCAGGGGCACCGCGTGCTTCAGGAAGAGCTCAGCTAGGCTTTCCGCTCTTCACTTGACTGCTATTCGGTAGGAGCGTGGCAGCCGCAGACAGCATGGCCCCAGGTCAAAGGACAAGGAAAGACAGAACCAGCAAGGAGAGGGCCCGGATCGCTCTGGGTCCCAGGAAGAGACCGAGGGTACGCTCAAATGGGGTCGTCGAGGGTTTAACAAAGAGACCACTTGTAAAGGGACTGAGAGAGTTAGGGGAACCCACAAAGGAAGACAGTACCCAGGGCAATAGCCCCTGCTCCTGGCTGGGACCGGACGCCAGCAGGGGCCCACAGCAAGGGACTACAGTGAAGTCCCAGCAGCCTGGCACGGACGGCCCGGGGAATCGGGTGACTGGCCCCCCGCTCTCCTGCCCTCGGATGTCCTGTGGGGGCCTCCCACTGACAGAAGCCCAGGGAGACCGTGAGTGTGGTCCCTGGAGATGAGCCTCTCAGAGCGGAGAGGGCAGAGCAGGGCAGAGCGGCTCGGAGGGGCAGATGGAAGGCAGCCAGTCCAGGGGCGTTTCCCCAAGGCCACAGCTTCTTGGTCTCCAGCCAAGTGCAACCATTATAGGACACAACCTCCCTGGCCAATTTCAAGGCTCTGCTTACTGCTGGGAATGCATGTTTGAACAAAGCCTTTATTCTCTCTACTCCAACAGCAGGGCTGGAATTTAAAAAGCTTCATTTTCAAGACCGGCTGCTTTTGATGTGTCTAACCTGGAACTTACAATTTGGAGTCAAATAGAATTATTTAAACAAAGCAGTTCAGTGATAAGCACAACATGTTTTGGTCTTTTGCTCCTTTCCCCTCGCAACACCCCATAGCATACCTGCTCAAAAGGGAAGGGCGGCCCTGGGGCCACCAGTGAACCTCGCTGAGCTCCCATCCCCCCAGTCTTCGTCTCTTCTGCCTGCATCTTCATCTGGGTGCGTCGGGCACAGGCCCCGGAGGGCAGGCTCTCCCTCAGCCGGGCCCGGGGCCAGCACTCCGCAGCGCATCCTTCCTCTGACACCAGCTCCCGGTTTGGCAGAACCGTGTGTTGGCGTCCAGTGTTCTTGAGTAATTATACTTTGTTTTCTTTCTGCTCCTTCCCCCCAACCCATCTCCCTTGCTCCTCTGATTTAAGCCCTTATCTGATAGCATCTTCTGTTCTCCTCAGCTGAACTTCTCCTCAGCCCCAAGCCTGCGTTTATCAATTTTATCTCCAATTTATTCAATTCGCGGTGTGATCAGCATTTGCATGCCTTGGCAAGGGCTCCTGCTCTGTCCTGTCCTAGTGTCCCTCTGGGTCCTGCAAAGCCCGTCCCTCCATGCAGTGCCCCGGAGAGCTCTCAGTGATGGCTACCAATGCCTTGGAGTTGGCCTATTGGTCACCAAAAACCATTCTGCACCAGAAGAGCTGCTTTTTTTCACAGCCATGAAAGCAAATGAAGAGAGCGAGGCCACATGTCCCCAGATGGTAAAGAGGTACAACAGTTGGGGGAAAAAGCTCAGATATGGCCTGGCCCAGGTGTTCCATACAAATAAATAACAAATCAAAATAATGTGAAAATTCCCTTTAGAAAGAGTGAGCTAAGCTTCTATCAAAATGATTCTACATAAATAAAATGAAGGTCTAGACAGATGAGGGCTGACAGAATGATTTTATGGCGGGAAGGATGGCTGGCCTGGCTTGGTGCTGGAGAGAAAAGGTGCAGACACAAGAACAAGTTATTCATCGACTTCACCTTTCACTCAGTGCCTAGTTCTGGCCCTTGGGCCACGCTTACCGAGCAGAATCGCTAATTCAAGGCCAAAGAGAAATGTGGGCAGAAATCTGGATAATATTAAAGTTAACATCAGACTCCTCTAATACGTGATACAAAAGACTGTATCACTAGGAAAGCAAGAGCATTTTAGATACAGGGAATATTCCATTTTCAGGCTCAGGGGATGAGCAGAATCAAAGCCACTGTGTCCCTTGGCTTTTCGGTGAGGAGAGCAGTGGTTAGCTCTTACCCCTGCCTTCAGGAGGACTCCTAGAGAAGGGAAATCTCCACTTAGCTAATGAGGCCGGGCTTCTCAGCAGGTAAATAGAACATACTCCTTGAAGACTGGCTCACTAAACCCTGACAGAAGGTGTAAAGCTCAGGAGATGGCTTATGGGCTCCTGGTAGGACTGGAGGTAATAACCAGTAAGGGGGAAAGACCTGGAAGGAGCTATGCCAACTCCAGTTTTAAAATAAAGCATTTAAAGCAGGTACACTGTAGCTGGCGGATCCCCCCAGGGAAGCACACCGAAGGCACTCAGAAGGTCCCGACAGAGCTGCTCAGCCAGGGCCAACACAGGCGGGTGCCGGCTTTGCCCGGTTCACGAGTACAGCAGTGTCGTCCACATTAATCCCGCGAGGTACTTCTATCACCGTCAGCCGCTGAGTGGATTTATATGCAACTAGTACGTGCTCCGCAGGCCAGCTGTGCGTCATTTGGGGGGGTCTATGACAATCCCATGGCGGGGGAGGTGGGCTGCAACTAGGTATTACTTTAAGGGGAGGTAAAAGCAAATGCAAACAGCTTCTTTAGAATTTGCTTGGAGGGCCAGGCTAAGCATCTCTTCACCCAGTTTGATCTGGGATGACAAAGTTATTTGCCCAGGTGGAAAGGAGATACCTAATAACACCCAGGGTGATGATGTATTTTCCCCGGTACCCAGCTTCGTGACCTCCCACCAAAGCTGCGCGCCTACCGTCGCAGAAGCAGGCCAAACGTAACTTGCACGAGGGCTTCAAGACCTTATTCTCTCCACCTCTGGTGAACACAAAAATTAACGTGCATGGGTAACATCTGTTTTTTATTGATTCAATCAATATATTGGGAATTTAGCAGCAAGTTAATGGCAAGCAGCTACAAAATCTATTTTTCTACATGTAAAATAAGTTGTCTTAAATACTCTATAGCAACCTAAAATCACAAGAACACATGTGAATGGCTGAAGCGCTTCTGCTGTTATGCCTCTGGCAAGTTTATTAGTGATTTCCTAACAAAATCTTCCAGTGCCAAGTGCACATAATGATTCGGAACCTCCACTGCCATATCCGGCTCTCATTTTCTCCTACAAATCATTGTGCCTAAATATGAGAATCTGAAGGAAAACTGAGCAAGCATGCCCACCGCCTTGCTTTGAGGGCCTGTACCCTCTAAACAACTCTCGAAACCCCTTGGGTTGGTTGCGGCCACAGCCCGCCATGGAGCCGGGTGGCCGTTGGCCTTTAACCGCGGGCTGCCGGGGACCGGCTCGCCTTGGCGGTGCAGCCGGTGCAAACGCATGGCAGGGCTCAGCAGGGCTAAGTGGCTAAAGGCTCCTCCTGGTCCTGGCCCCCCCCCTCCATCGCCTCGTCTTAGCGCCAGCAGGAGCAGCTCTGTGTTTGTACCGTGCATCAGTGAAGGACACTTAGAGTTTCCTTTTGGTTCCAGGCATGGCATTGGATTTGGCCGTGTACTTGGTTGCTGTCCCTTGGCTCGAAGTCATGGGGGATTTCTCTGGCCCTGCCCTGAAGCCACCTGGAAGGTGTCTGCTAGATGTGGAACTTGCACACTTCGTGCCCAAGGTGTCCGCGTTCTCCTTCTTGCGGGTCACAGGGAATTTCTTTACATAAGCCGTGGACTGGAAATAAAAGAAAAGGCCTGGATTAACTTTCAGACAGGAAGCAATAGACACCAATTCAAAAAAGCAAGGGACCACAAAGCTGCCCAGGATCTGCGAGGTGGAGCGCTCTCCCAAGGGGAGACATAATCACACCACAGAGCTGCTATTAAATGCCAGAGTAAGGTCCTTTAGCGCCATCAAGAAAAGAGGCTTGTTTAGGGTTCGGGGTAGCGCAAACTAGAGGCACAATTTCAGATCGTCTGCCACGCAAAATCAAAGTAAATGTCTACAACATGTGCACAGGGAAGTCGGCCAGGACAGAACCGTACCCACTGCATCTTTACCAGATTTCTAGGCCGGCTCTGCCATGCCGTTCTCTGTGCTAACTCCAGGGACTGGCTTCTAATCCCAGTCACTCCACTCGGGCAGGTCCACGGACCTCTCAGAGTCTCGATGCCATGCGGGTAAACAGGGACCATGCATTAGCACATTTCCCACATGGGTTCACTCTGACAATGCACGAAGATGGTGGCCGGTAAAGTGCTTCTTTAAAGTACAAACCAAGTAGGAGAGATCTCAATAGGCAATTGTGTTTTCTCAGGTCACCTCACCCCACGGCAGAGGAAATGGTCTTCAATTCTGCTGTCGTGAGGGAAGCAGAGTCCATTTTGACCTTACACCCATTTTAGAAGTGATCACTTCTCCTGAAATGAAGGCGAGCACAGAACAGAACAGAAAAGAGCAGAGAACGTCTTAGGAGAGGGGGACACAGCAGGGTGGGGGATGAGACATGGGAAAATAGATGCAGTAGGCCTCACGTACACAGAACCGTCTGGAAGGGGCTCAGATGTTTAACACTCTGGTGAATGCAAAGTTACTCTACATAGGAGTTGATAATCAGGTTAGCAATTTTCAAAGGATGTGAAAACATTACAGGTAACACACTACACATAAACCTGGTTTCTTTGATCACTCAGGCTCTTGTGATACCAGTGGCCATGTTTTATACACGGTAGTAGGCACTTAATATCGATTTGCCCGATGAACAAGTGACCTCCCAGGGCCCCAGCAGAACTTCAGGTCATTTATGATTTTGGACAGCTATATTTAGAGAAAGAGAAAAGCCACCTGACGTGTGCTGTATTGCAGACAGCCCTGAGGTATGTGCCTCTTTGGAACATCACTCGTGTATGGCTTCATAACAGTGTATGCTAAGTCTCGAGCTCGTATATTTGTAGATTGAAAAATTAGTCTACATTTGGAAATGTAAAAAAGTCCTTTTCTCCATAGATCTTTTTTCCCAACAAAATTTCTAGGTTGCTTCCACGTGTATTCCTTCACGAAACAGAAAATACTGAAAATGCATTAGCATTCAGCCATACAGCCTCTACCCTCTCACTGAGAATGTCCACGTGCCACAACGGGGTGAGAGTCAACTCCCCCGATGTTCCCACGTCCAGTGGAGAGAAGCTGCTTTGTTGAATGCAGCACTGATCCCTAAGACAGGAAACCTATCTTGGAAATTTCAATTCATGAAAGTTTAATTCACTTGACATACAAATCCTATTAAAAGGCGAATCTCAGTGTAACCTTCTCCCTTTTGACATTTCCACCTTTTGAGCTATCACCCAAGTAGTCGAGGAAATGTTTTTCAACGTGTCCACTACAACTACTGTTCTCTAGAGTAGGAACAGAGACTCTGGCGTTTTCTTTTTAATGCGTGCAAATTCATATCTATCTTAACACTTCCATTCTTCTCCACGGTTCCATTTGTTAGTGGACTTGAGTCACGAAAGTAGACTAGAAGTTGCTTCACCAGGAAGAAATACTCAGAAACAGTCTCTGTGGGTGGGGGTAGTGATGCAGATTAGTTTTTCCAAAATCACTAGAGGCTCTGGTATTTTCTTCTTGGATAAGATATCTTAAGATAATCCTCAGGATTTCCTGGCAAAGGGGAAGGGAAGAGGAAACTAAACCAAAATGTTTGCTTACTTCAGTGCAGAAACATGATATTTCTCAGTTTCATTCTTGAGCAAGATGAGGAAATGATATTCCTCGGCTACATTTCTTTATTTTATTTATTCATATCCAATTTTAGTGATATATTTTTAAAATAGATGGCACACCCCCATGATTTAATATTCACAGTGTTAAAAATCTCCTCCCTGCTTCCCAGTTAACTCAGCTCTGCCCCACATCAAAGACAACCAATATTATCAATTCACAGTGTACATTTCCAGAGAGAGGTCATGCATCTTCAAGCAAATATTAAGTGGAACCAAACTGAATTGGTAGTCATTTCTGCAGGTCAAAAACAGCCTAATAATGGCAATTGCATATGGTTCGGTCCAATCCATATGTTGACATGCTTTCTTCTCCCTTTTTTTACACAAATGGTAGCCCACTATAAGCACTCTTTTACATCTTGATTTTTTTCAACTAATGATTATCTTGAGGATCCTTCTGTGTCCATACGTAAAAAAGGGTGCTCATTCTTCTTTTCGGCAATGCAGGCTTCTCTTGTTTGAAGGGACTACAATTTATTTAGCCAGTCCCTTCACAGTGGGCATTCAGGTTGTTTCCAAACTTTTCCTAGTACAAATAGTGCTGCTGTGAATAATCTTGCACTTGTGTCATTTTGTGGGTGTGCAAGTATGTCTACAGGATATATATTTTAGAAGTGGGACTCCTGGGTCAAAATATAGATGGATTTGTAGTTTTCAAAGCTACGGCCATATCGCCTTCCACTGCAGTTGTACCAATCTATATTCTTACCAGCAACATATGAGTGCCTGTTTTCTTATTTCTTTCTCAATTTGGTTTTAATACATATTCAAATTAATACAGTCATCTATATTTTATTTTATTTTTTATTTTTTATTTTTTTAAAGATTTTATTTATTTATTTATTAGAGAGCGAGCGAGAGAGAAACAGCATGAGAGAGGAGAGGGTCAGAGGGAGAAGCAGGCTCCCCGCCGAGCCGGGAGCCCGATGTGGGACTCGATCCCAGGACCCCAGGATCATGACCTGAGCCGAAGGCAGTCGCTCAACCAACTGAGTCACCCAGGCGCCCAGTCATCTATATTTTAATTGAACTCCAAGTTGGCCTAAAACTGTTGCACTGAAACAAATCTCAATATTTGTTCCTTTACTCTCTGGTGACATCAACGTAAATCTACTCACCTTTATGCGAATGTTTATTGCAAATGCTTAGAAGCTTCTGTGTGTATGCGTGTACCTTGTAAGATGTGTTGTGTGTGTGTGTGTGTGTGTGTGCGCGCGCGCACATGTACACTTTACCATTTCTCTTTGCTAATTTGCAGTTGCGTTAAGTTTAGGATGCCACTGTTCAGGAATCAGAATTGTAAGAGCTTTCCTGAAGACTCTCAGTCTCCCCTCTTAAATATCACCTCACTGAAACTGTGCTCTGATGTTAACAAAACATGGGTGCAGGCTGGCCCTCATGGTGTCTGTCCTTCAGACTGAGCTGTAGCTTTCTTCACCGAGAGCCACTCCTCTCATCTCCCTGAACACAAATGGCCAAGGCAAATTCCAGCTTCTAGGCTTTTCTCTAGGAATATAAACAAATCTTAATGTTTCAGGGATTTCCTCTGCAGGTTACAGGTTATCTAAATTTTAGGTTTGTTTTTCTTCTCTCATAGTTGAGGGGATTCCTCAGGGATCTATGCTGTCACTGATGCAATTTACAGTTTTGTAAGTAACATGACAGAGAAATGAAAACTGAAATTGCCAAGGCTATAGGAATTACTAAGATCTTCCCGGTCATAAAAGGCAAATAGAAGGTGAGGATCTCCCGTAAGATTGCACAGAGGGGGAGGAAGATGAGAGGGGAAATTCAATATTCCGGTCTGGGGGAAAAGAGTCTAAATGATCATTATGAGATTGTTGGCCATCATTATCTGTCCAAGACAAGGATCTACAAATCACTGTAGATTGTTCTCTGAAGATACTGGCGTAACATACCATTGCACAGTGATCAAGAAAACCTGGCTATCATCAGAAAGCATCTTAGAAACAAAGAAAAAAATCCTTCTATCCTTATATAAGATCATGAAGAATTCATACCTGAAACACTGCAATCAGCTTGAACAGAGATAAAGGAACCAGAGAAGGTTTACAGACAGGTTACTAATATGATTAATGGATGGAGGTTTCTTTACAAGAGAGCTCTTCGGTCTAGAAATATAAAGACTGAGAGGACATATATAATCACACTCTGTAGAATGCAGAAGGGGAGAGAGCTCAGCTCTGTGGAGCTAGACGGTGTCTCTGAGTGCTGCAGTCAGGATGGTTACACCAGGGGCTGGCCCAAGCAACATTTCAATTGTTCCTCAGCCTTGACAGACTCTTACCACTTGGGACGGTTGAAGAATAGTCAGCCCTACTGGAGGCAGGATGATGGAAAAGATGACCTTTCAAGTTTCCTCCAGTTTCATCTCTTAGTAACTCAGCACCCTTGGCCTGATTTCTCCAGCTCATATTATTCATCTTGGAAAGGGGCTCCATGTGTGCAAGGGAAGATATGTAACAAGAAAATTGGGCTAAATACACATATTTCATTATTCACTGGCATAACTTTAACCTGATGAACTCATCTGGTGATAATGGATGCAAAACCTGTAAGCTCTAGGCATATCCCTGCAAGTTAATACCAGTACATGATTACTAGAAACTGTTACCATTTCTCTGAATTTTGAGTAAAATACATGCTATTTAAGTAAAGTGGTTTATCACCATAGCAACCATTTCTAGAGTCACACATTCAAATTATAGGCCTGCACAAGGTCCAAGTGACGGAACATTCTGATACAAGTTTTCAGCTCCAGCTTTGCTTGCAATGGTCACCCACATTCTCTCACATTCCTATGGTTTTCAGAAGGAAGAAGGAAGGGAAAGAAAAACGAAAGGGAAGAAGAGTAATTAACTTCCAGATATATAGAGTTGTTTTATAAGGCTACCTACATAAATAGCTGGGCCTTGTAGGGAGTTAATGAAA